AATAGACTTCACTCGACCAGAAGTGGCAAAACTCTAACCGCAAGCTTTGCCAGTTGCGTGCGTGCTTCCGTCTGCGTGTTAGAACCAAAAAAAAACATTAGTTTATCAAGAAAGACATTTGGTACTCCCTCGGTTTTTTTTAGTCTGCATATAAGATTTGGTCAAAGTCAAACTTTATAAAGTTTGACCAACTTTATAGAAAAAGTTATCAACATCTACAATACTAAACCTATATGATATGAAAATATATTTGATGACGCACCTAACAATATTGATTTCACATTACGAATCTTGATATTTTTTTTATAAACTTAGTCAAAGTTAATAAAGTTTGACTTTGACCAAATCTTATATCGGACTAAAAAGAAACGGAGGGAGTAATTGTAGGATTCCAGTCGTCCTCTTGTCAACTCCCTAATTACACCAGTTATCACAAGAAGGAAAAGCCCACGCATGACAAATCAATACACCACGTACGTACTCCCTGCGAATAAGCTAGCTTTGATAGCAAAGGGTGGTCACGCACTGACGACACGTACCTTACGACGTGCTCCCTGCGAACTGGAAGATTAACCGAAACTAATCCTGCGGAGTGCGGACCCACCTAGCATACACGCACGAGAGAAAGAAAGAAGATTTGATCAAACTTGCTCCTCTTTCTGATCACGACGGATCCTCCTCTGCTTATTTAAGTACTTCCTTGATAAACTAATATAAAAGCGTTTAGATCACACTTTAATGATCTAAACATTCTTATATTACACAGTTCTTTAAAGAATATATTTTTAATTTTGTTGAAGGATCAAACTATCTCAAAGTGCACATCATGGGCCGGCCTTGTGCCATGGACAGACAATGGTCCGTGGCCTCGGCCTTGTGCCACGGAGACACGATGGTCCATGGCCAGAGCTGGAGAGCGCAGTTAGGGGCCTCCGGGATTCCAGGCGTGCGGCTACGAACAGGTCACATGCGAAACAAATCCCTTTCTGTTTTTCTTCCATATATAGGTCGAATGAGTCACGCTGACCGAGCTCAATTAGCAGACCATCGTGGCCAAATTGACCCAATCTGTATAGTGCTAGAGACTATCGAGCTCGTCGTTAAGTACTACTGGTACCGCTACTAACTAACGTGTGAGCAGAGTGCACGTTTCTGTACATGCCTATGCCTACGTCCGCGAGCAGGTTGTTCTAGAGGTAGGAGACCGGAAACTCTAACCGCAAGCATGCCAGTTGCGTGCGTGCTTCCTTTTTTCGTGCGTCAGGAAAAATCATGGGTTTACCACAGACATTTTGGCAATGGTAGGATTCCAGTCCTACGCTTGTCAACTCCCTCACCGTACCAGTTCCCGAACAAAGAAAATTCCACACATGAGACATCAATAACACCCATATTCACTACATACATACTCCCTCCATTCCGAATTACTTGTCGCACGTATGAATATATCTGGATGTATTTTGGTTCGAGATACATCCATTTCGGCAACGAGTAATTTGGAACGGAGAGAGTACGTAGGCAAAGAGGCCAGCTTCGGTTACGTGCTCCTGTGAACTGGAACATTAACTGAAACTTCGTCAGATTATTCTGCATGCGAGAGATTGAAGATTCGATCAAACTTGCTCCTCTTTCTGATCCTTCTCTAGCTAATTTATTTAGGCTAGTCATAGTAAGGAGTAACTTAGAGTAGTAACATGCACATGTTATTAGTCTATGTTACTATCTTTATAGTGGGTACTAACATAAGTGTGATACCATATAGATCTTCATTTATTGCTTTATAGACTCATTTTGTATTGAAAAGCGCTATGTGATGGTAACATATTACTACATGTTATTTTATTTGGCTCTCTCCTCATTAATTAGTTGACACATCATCTTCTTTGCTTATGTGGCATGTATGTTACTATCTATGTTACTCCCACTATGACCAGCCTTATTGTTACTCTTCCACTTTTGACTAGGAGCGCTGAATTAAGTACGCGCCACGAGGCCGACAGGAGTTCAGCGTAATAATTACAGCCATCGCCGCGTGTTTAATTTGCAACTCCAAGGTTAGCCGCATGGAGTTTTGACGTGGTAAGCTTTGACGTGCGGGCGCACGCAAAGTCTGGGCGAGAACGACGTGTAACCGCTACAGCATGCACACACTACACATGCCGTGCATGATGCATCATGCACGTTTCCTGCTTCTTCCAGTTCTCCTCCTCCTCGTTCCAACGCCTTCCTGCAGTACCGCGGACGACACGTACGAGCTGGATGACGAAGATTCAGCTCATTGACGATCACACCATGGCACGCCAACTGTCACATAAACAAAGACAAGTATGCTTGGACACGGCCCCTTTGTAGTTTTCATCTGTACTACCTCTTTTTTTATACTACGTACTCTCTCCGTCCCGTAACGTTGGACTTTTTTGACATTACACTAGTGTCAAAAAACGTCTTATATTAGAGGGCGGAGGGAGTAGTAAACATGTCCGTGCGTTGCAATGAGAGAGTATAACATTTTCTATATGCGCCGCTATTTTCATTTCGATTCAATTTTGATCTGGACTCATCATATTGATAGCGTGCACCTACGGCCAGAGTCAGGCAGCATTTGGGAGGTGTTGTTCGACACCGAGGAGGTTGCGCCTATGAATTAAGTGTATTAAGAAAGTTTATATGTGTCACCGTCACATGTAGCGGATGAAACACAAATTAAGATCCTACGTAACGTTCATGACTATAACAAGAAGTGTTTCGATATTTTTAGAATAAACCTTCATATACTTATGTTCATGAATTTTATAATTGTATGTACATCGCACAAAAAATATTTGTGTATTAACTATAAAAGGGAATTTTTGTAATCCGATTGTACGAGCTTGGATTTTGCTAGGAAAAGTTATGCACGTAGGGTCTTAGATCATGGAACATATGCAAAGAAAGAACCTGGTGCAAGTATAACATGCCAAACGAGTAATAATTTCCCTCGCTCGCTCCTTGCCAACAAGCACACAACAATGTGTGTGGCATGTTCTTTTACAATACGGATTGGCATCGATATGAAATAAAGACGGATTACACGCCATTGATTAAGGATGCACCCTAAATAATATTTTAAAAATATTTCACATGTAAAATATCATCATATTCATATACTACACGTTTTTCTAATCAGAATCCATATATAGCAAGTTAAGATTGGAGTTATGGTTTAAAAGATATGATTATCTAAAAAACATTTATTCTAAATAGGTTGTGGGTTGATTAATGCAAATATCAGGGGGTTTTATGTAAAAATTCAAAAAGATGATTCACTACGACCTAAAGATGGACTACGGGTTAATTAACATAAATGACAAAGGGGATTTATGTAAAATGTGAAAAACGATTCGCTGTGACTAAAACTTGAACCACAGGTTGATTTCAAGAATGTGCAGGGGGTTCTGCAAAATGACATGACGTACGGGAAGAAGCACTAATTACTTTATGAGTTGGTATATATATATTACTTTGTAGAGGGAGTAACTTGTAAGGTTATGGTTTTGTAATTCGGCAATTTAGGAAATTTTCAATTTGAAGACACTGTAGGCTTTTCGCATATTTGTATGAAGAAAGGTCGGTGGCCCGAGGTTGAATTAATGACCGCATAACTATATATAATATACCCTCGCAAAAAAAAACATGGGTGCGCAATGTTAACCCAGCTTCTTGGTACAGTCACAAACACACATACGGACCATGGCAACTACAAGAAGCATGTCTATACAAGAAACATAGCGAATACAGGTCTAAAGGCAAGTAACAAAACAGATAAGAGAAGCAACATGTTGCAAAGGGACTGGGCCGCTGGGTGTGAATGAACAAAACCAGACTGTTTGGAACACACCACCTCACCAGATCTTTCCGCACATATGAGGGACACTGTCCTGATAGGCTGAACCTCCCCAAAGTGAGTCGGTGCATGGATAATGGCCCCTCGGTCAAAAGAGCACACTCTCCACGGGTCTGCAGCACACCCTGCCATCACCAAACAACACCCGCCACCACGTAACCCTGAGAGGAGCGAAGAACAATGGACTAAAACGACACCTTCTAGGAGGGAGTGACATCAAGGCACCACCGCCACCCAATTCGGGCCCACAACCTCGAGGAAACCGAAACTAAGGGTGAAAGTAGTTAGGATAATTTTCGATCAAAATAGTTTTTTAGTCCAGGGGTATGGTAAGATATTTGAGCAATCTGAACACAATCAGCGTTTGGAATTAGGATAGGCTATGGCATTTCTAACATAAAAAACATCCAATTTCTAGCTGAATAATCAAACCATTTAAAGGGTTGTTGCTACGCTAGCATGACCTACACGAGAAGAAAGGCCCAATCAACACCTTGTACCATTTCTGGTTTGCCCCAATGGTGGAGAAGAAGGGAATGATGGAAAGGCCCGATCAACACCTTGTACCATTCCTGGTTTGCCCCAATGGTGTGGAGGTTAGGGTTCGCCATCCAAGTCACTCGGACAGGCGACACAAGACATGAGCGAAATGTGGCCCTCTCACTTTTCACATATTGTCATTAAAATATCACAAACCAACGATCTAAAAAACAAATGTTAAAATTTCACACTAACACGTAATAAAAAAATACCAGTAAAAATAGCATTATTGCGGGTCATCGCTACATTTAATACAGCTTAGGAAGCTAAGCTAGGTAATTAGTAATACTCGCATACAGTAACAAATTCATCCCATCAGCATGAAAGAATTCTTTTATTCGACACCAAAGAATTCTCAAACAGATGAAGAACATACTTATACTACTTAACCCAGGATATATATTTAGCCGGCGCCACGCAGTTAATTACCCTGACGCAGCCAATTAACGGGCGTGGTAGTAAGATAAAAACGGCAACAATCAAGGATCCACGTAGTAGTAGAGTAGTACTGTATATACTACTACGTGGAGAAGCAGCAAGGCAGTGATTTGTTCCTCTCCCCGGCTCGTCAAATCCTTCAGTTGAGCTGGAGCGCGGAGTTGACGCCGAGCCACGGCGCGCCGCCGTCCTCCGGCACAGGCTTGCCGGCCGTCCCAGCCCCTGGCGCCGCCACCGGCGCAGGGTACGGATCTGCCGCGGCCAGCCTGCTCTTCCTCTTCTCCAGGAACCTATGGAGCGACGCCTTCCTCGCGATCGGCAGCTCTGAACAGACGCATGCCACAGGTTTCTGTCAGCTCCCCGATTCCACGGACAGTATGGAGTTTAATTTTGATACTTACCACAAAGTGTCGCGCGATCCGTACCTGCAAAGCAAGGCTGCCCCGGCGCGTTCTGGCAGACGGGCTCGGCGCCGGCGTCGGAGGCGGCCGGCAGCGCGCCGAAGGAGCCGGCGAGCTGCATGAGCTCCTTGGCCTTCTCGGCGGGGAAGTCGTCGAACACCACCGTCCTCCCGGCGTAGAAGATGGTCAGCGGCGCCCTCTCCGGCCCCGTCCTAATTAATTAACAAGAGCGGAAGCATCAAAAAGGAGAGCGTATTTTCCAAGAACCCCCGACACGTCTGACGTTCTCCGGTCTCCCGGCATGACTGGCAGGCAGGCACGATCGAAGTTGGAGTTTGCACTTTGCACGCACGCACGCACGTACCTTTCGCGCGAGTCCCTGACCATGCCGGCCTGCTGGGGGAAGAGCTCCATGGTCCGGATCCTCTCCTCCGGCGCGACCGCCTCGACGCCGTCGCCGCCGCCCGGCATGAGGCCCACGGTGACCACGCCGCCCCCAGGCTGGTCCTTCATGTACTGGCGCAGCAGGCCAAACGCCGCGGCGAACCTGCTGCCCCCGGCGGTCTGCTGCTGCTGCTGCTCAGCTCCCATGCCGATCTCCTGCGGAAGGAACCGACGAGGTCCGACGAGGTATGTGTGTGTGCGTGTGTGTGTCCGTCCGGGCGGGAGGCGGGTGACTCGCGGGGTTAAGTCCTGGCCCGCTCTCTCCTTTTTGTGGGCGTGTACAGCTGGGCAAGGCCTAATTTCTGTTTCGCGGGCAGGAGAGGAAAGCAGCATGTGAAAGGCGCCGGGAGGGAGACGAGAAGCGATGGATGGATGGATAGATGGCAGCGGCCCGTCCGTTTCCCGGCACCGCACGTCTCGCCCAATTTCGCCGTGGGTTTTCGCCGATCGGTCAGTCCATCGGCGTGTATTTGTTGCATGTGCGCGCCCCCGTGGCGGTGGTGGCGTCGAGCGAGGAACGGGGGGGTTTCGGGGTTGAGTTTGGCGGGCGGTTCTGCCAGGCCACGGTCGCGCATGCGCGGGTGGTGGGGGCCCTATACTCTCCCCCAGGGCCGGTCCTGATATTTCGGGGCCCCGGTATAAATAACATATAATAATAATGAATATACTTACATATAAAAATTTACGTATGAACAATGAAACGCATCCAAAACAATATACAAGTGAAATAATTAAATACCTTAAAAACTTGTATGATTTTTCCATGCAAAGTCACTTGTGATGTGGTTCATGTCAATCTCTTCCAATGATTTCTTCTTGGTGCATATACATGCCAAGCCATTTAAATTCTCATTAGTCATTCTTGACCTCAAATAGTTCCTCGATAATTTTAACTTTGAAAAGCTTCATCGTTCAACTGATGCCACCGTTAATAAGATGCAATAAACAACAGAGAAATTCTCTAAAAAACCTGAGACATTAGGATAACAATTAAATTCAGTGACATTCTTAAAAATCTCCATAGCATTATACCATCAGGCAAGTGAATTTTAGAATCTTTTTTTAGCATTATACCATCTGTCAAAATGAATTTTAGAATCTTTATAATAGAGAAAAAGGCAAAACTGGATGTTCATCGACACTAGTAGATTATGCATGTGCCCCCCAATGAATTAACTGTACGCTCAAGAACACTAACATTATTTCCACCGATGTTGATGTCGATGATTCAAGGATGCGAGCAATGCATCATGTATATGAGGGAAAAAATACTTAATTAGTAATTTACATATAGAGGGTAGCGAAAAGAGAACGGCAATATAATATAGTACCTCGGATGGGTCGGCGTTGTCGGCGATCGGGCGTTCAGCGATGTGTACTCGTTTGCATCTGGCTCCAGAGCTCCACGGATCGGCGATGATGTGCGTGTGCTTGTCCAGCGCACAAAGGTAGGAGAGCAAAGCGCGTACGAATACTGGCTAGACACTCGCACGATTGGGAAGCCTCAGAATAGAAATCGGCGAGACCACGTACTGCCGATCAGAAATAGAAACGAAATTAGGAGAAAAGGAGCAGGAACGCAAGTTTGTTATCACGAACAGGACGGCGGCTACTCCGCATCTCTCCCCCTCCTTCATTTTTCGTGAACTGGCGGCGGCGGTGTATGCCGGTTGGAATTAGGTATGGCGCATGATTTGAGGATGGCTACGTGATGGAATAGGAAGGAATTGAATTGCAAAAGCAGAAAGGAATACAAAGCCGTCGCTAGATCTTCCGGCGTCCACGCCTGGCCACGGCCCATAGCATAAGCCCACAGGCTACCTGCATACACCCTGGGGGAGGGGCCCCTGGACTTCGGGGGCCCGGGGCGGCCGCCCCCCCTGCCCCCCCTCAGGACCGGGCCTCTCCCCTGGTGGTTTTTCTTCCTTTTCTTTTCCATTGGTATAGCTTCGTTGCTTGACTATGCAAAAGTAATTGAACGACAAAGCTACTTTGGTTTTCAATCTTACCAATGAAACAATTGTGCCTCCCGGGTCGCACGCCTACTTTGGTTTTCAATCTTAGCAATGAAACAATTGCACCTCCCAGGT